TAACTATGTAATATCGTCGCTAACGCCAAAGGCGCTTATAAACATTGCAGAAGTTACGCCGAAAATCTTTGGTTTTGGATTTCGTCTTCGAAGAGTTATTCTCCCTGTTACTGTGTGTCAGCCTCTCTTTTCGATGAAATGCCCTGGTAAGACTCAGTCACTTTTTTTTCTGTTACCGCTTAAGCTACTGAAAGCCATACTCTCTCGTCGACGCTCCCCCCGATAAAGGGACAAGATGGGTGATGTCTGCCTAGCGTCATCTCGTCTAGCTCGCCTGCATTGCTTGTCACCAGGAGTCTCTTGCGCTACATTTACGCGAGTTCATAGATTGCCGCGTTGGCTTGGCCTGCCGCCTGCTTTGCACTGCGATGACGTTCGTCGAAAAGTTTCAACTATTAAAATGGCGACAACTGCCATAGGATTTAGGAGAGGAGCAAAAGGCGAGCGCTGGCGTGGACGGGGCGGTCCGATGAACTCTGAGTCACTTTAGTATCTATTCAATACTGCCGAAAATATCTGTATCTGCTTATTAGCTTCTGTGAAGATTCGAATTAGCTCCATTTTCCATCAGACATTGTCCATTTTCGGAACTTCAGGATTGTCAAAAACCAGTACGAGACACAACGAGAAATAAGAACCAATCCTTGTTAATGATAGAAAAAAAAACTGTGAGAAAAATATATCCAAAATTATGCCCGGACAAATCATTCCAAGAATAATTTTATTTTAAAATAATTTATCGGCATATAGTATAACAACTATCCTGTTCTCTGGATGTTCGACAGAACGCTTATTTAAAGTGGGCACGTAGGTAGACTGAGTAGAAGGCGAAGCGTATCAAGATCACCAGGGTTACACGGTAACAAGCTCCTTTTCCGCAATCTGTACGCCGGCATCGTTTAGCATACATTTTCGTTGATTGAAGTATCTCTGTAGAGGATAAAAAAAATATGAATATATTAATCGTTTGGTTCCGTTGTAATGAATTACTCGAATCTGGCTTTCGTTACGCGTCACGGCGAACTTGTTGGAAATCCTTTACGTCTACGTATTTCAAATGCCACATATTCGACATAGCCGAAAATAGTTAATAGAACAGTGTTTCTTAAATTGGAGTTAGTAAATCACAGTTACCAAAATTCACCGGTAGCGGTTCGTGTCGTAAATCCTTCAGTGGGACCGATAAGGGTCTCATATATATATATATATATATATATATATATATATATGTATATACATATAGACATATACATATATAACACCTTCGAACGCTCGCTCGTGGGACCAACATTCACCGAATCGGAAAGGAAAAAGAACAACGAATCAAATAGAGAGGAATATTAGGAGGTATGCATGAAATGCTCAGCATTTTCTTTTACCGTATAAAACTCTCGCTGTGATTTATATACAAAAGTACTTCTATTCCTGAGACGCCTAGGCCGTTCGTTCATTCCTCGTAGGTTACACGCCACCAATCAAGGAATGAATTCAAGCCCGGTTATCTGTACGCAACGGTGTGCTTATTGTCTGTGTCTGGTACGAGCATTTCCACTTCAGTGTTAATGTGATGTACTTAATAGACACCGGCCTAAAAAACCGCAGCTTGTGAAAGTTGTAGATAAGTATTGTGCCATAATATCGTTACACACTAACCTTATAGGCGAAATCATTATTTGACTATATGAAACGTAAATTGTTAATAAAAGATAATTAAAATTTTGACTGCTTCCCGTTTATCAGCGAACTTAGATCTCATTATAATCTGAAGTGAAACCATGTTAGACCGGCTGTATCCCAAGAGATCGTGAGGACCGGTTCCATTTTTGTTGTTACATTTTCTTTTGAAGTTATATCTTTAATTACGTTTGAATTATTTTACTAATTTCACTTGAAAAAAAAATAACCATACAAGCAAAAGTATGAAACGAGTTTTCGGCAGAGGTAGCCCGTACGCACTGCATTGGAAGATGGCGGCCGTTATAGCGAAACTATTTCTATTACTACAAGTGCCGCTGTTGTTGACTCGGCAAGCGAAGTGGCAATTCAGGTGGCTTCGTCGCTTGGCGTGCCAAAGCATCAGCGTCGAGAAAGAATAAAAAAGAGGTTAGAACGGAATCCGAAATCAATATCGGGCGCGCCACCGCGGATCCTCCCAAACTATCTGCGCATCGTGTCAACTACGTTCGACAACTATGTAAAGCCGCATTGACTATACACTGGCCCGCTCACGCCGGCGATGCTCCGAGAATCATAATAAAACTAATCAGCGAAAGCATCGTCATCATCATCGCCATGAGCATCACTCGCCCCATTCGCTAAAAGACGTCGGCCGACGTTAGTGTAATTCGGACATCACCAGTTCGGCGTAGAGGGCAAGCCCGCAGAAGCGCCCGTTAACGGCCTTCGTTGTCCACTCGTTAATCACCTTTGCTACGTTTGGTCAAACAAATGTTCAAGCACTGCCATATAGATCTCTCGTTACCAGCAAGCTTTCTTTTTCAAACTACTTCATCCTCAAGCGACTTGATCTTGTTGGCTTTTGCTCCTCAGAATCGCCGTCGTTGCTATGTCGAAGTAGTGAACGCAGAAGTTGCTACAGAGATACTACGAGCATTAATAGTGGCTTCTGAAAAGAAATGTATGGCTACTATAGCGGCGGCTCCCACAACTCAGCAAAGCGTACGTACGCACTGACGGTCGGCCCCACCCAGCTCCATGCGCCTCCGTTCATTCATGTGCACCGAAAATGGGGGACCCCCGCCTGTTCGTCCGGATCGTCGGCCGGCCAAATGATCATCATCGGCGGTAGCGGCGACAACGACAACGACAACTGCAACAACAAGATGAAGACCGAAGACTCGTTTGTTGTCCGCTACTCATTGCTCATCGATCTTGGTCTTTCTAGTAGTGGATGGCCATCTCTTTCATATTGACACTGTTGAATCGTAGCAGAAGTACGTCAGACGACAAATCAGTGAACCGAAGGCTCAGCGAAGTATCGCAGACAATAGTGCTCCTGCTGTAGTAGTTACGCATCTGTCGCCTGTTAATTCAGGCGGTTAAATGTAACTGTATATTGATGATTGCACATTGCCTATGTGATAACAACGGCGCATGACTAGATAAAGCTAGAGTCGTGTGCCGGAAACGCGCACGGCACGCCACGATAGAAACATTTGAGAGGTGTCTGGGTGATGAGAACGCGCTGCTTGCTTCCGCTTGCCCTGGGGGGCTCTTGACAACTTTGTTTCTTTTTAGAATGTAGTCCGTGTTATCCTATCTTAGTTCCCAGAATAATAGCTCGTTGGTGGTTGCAAAGAGTTAGATGATTATATGATCATCGAAAAATAAAGGCTTCGCGGTTATAGCCCCACTTGACTACACTAAAAGGCCGGTACAGCAGACCGAGGTTGGGGTTGAAGCGTGCGTCTTGAGACTAGCATACGGTGAAAGCTTCTTTTAAATTAACGTATGTAAATATACAAGTATATATGAACTTTAATATCGCTAGTAAGCAGTGAACTAAGTTAACCTGAGGTACTGATTGTCACTTACTTTGTCATCTAGATCGGATAAAACCGCACATACAGATGGTCCGTTGCGGTAATTACAGCTTTTTTTCGCCAGATTTGCTGCTGGCCATCTACCATCACAGATCGAATCGATAACAATACATTGATTTCAGTATAACTAAAGCACGGATCGCATTCGTCCTAACGGTAGTGTCCGTTTTTGATGATATAATGTTCTACATAGGGGTTGACAAACCAAGAAATGTTTTGTCTAGATTTACCACAGCTGTGCGACGATTCTAGAGTTTATGCTGCCTCAGAGGGAAGGAAGGCTATAAAAGCTGGCCCCATCTAGAAGTGGCAGTCTCATGACTGATTTAAAAGAAAAATCGCCCCCTGGAGTACTCATCTGCCGGTCTATAAAGCATCGTAGATGCCTGTATTGCAACAATTGAGAGTATTCCTATTGGCTCGACAGTTGCCCAGATGTGATCGGTAAAATTCTAAATCGATGGCTTAATTAAGGCGCCAGCTACGGCATTTTTCAAGGACCGGTTAGAAACAATTTATGATCCTTCCTAACACCAATTTATTTTCTAATTTATATTCCGTTCAACATCTACCCGGACTCGTTTTATCGTAACACACTTAGATGGATTCAATAAATAGCTTTTTTAGTTTTGTATATAACGTTACTCTGTGTAACAATTTAATAGACAGTTGTATTCACTGCATCCGAGAGCACAGTCGCATCTATATATGCACATGCATGTATTGCCTTAGTAAACGATAATTTGGTCTCACAGAAGTCAACAACCTGTTATAGCTGCGTTCATTCTTTGTTGTTGTTGTTACTGCTGTTGTCTGAGTTAAATAGAGAGGGAAGGGCTGTGGTGGCGACCACGGTAGTATCTGTAAAGTATAATGGCAATCAAGCCTCGTCACGGAAAGGGAGAATCGCCCCAGGGCTCCTGTCGCCGCTAACGGCTTCCTGCCTGAAGAAAAGAGATGAGCCAACTCAGCATAGACACTGCCGCCATTAAACGAGCCCTTCGTTTCCTTTGATTTTTTTTTGATTATTCCGGCCGCGGCGGTCAGTGCAGCATGCCCATATGCACCTCGCACCTATTTCGTTCTCAGAGCTTTTCTAATCGGCGTTGTTTCGTATCAGCGTCTCTTCGCACAATTGCTATCACTGCTTAGCTACTAATGCCGCGACGCCAACTGTAATTTACACCTTGTTAACTTGACTGGCTCATTTATAGCCGTTCATTCTTCTAATTACCCTAAATTTTTCTTATATTATTAAGTTTATTATTCATTTTTCTCCTATTTAAGATGCATATAACTGTAACAATGGCACGAGTGATATCGTCGAGTTAACAGAGATTCTCAAGTGAGCAAATACAGTATATAACCTCATGTATATGTGCACTCTTTCGAATCTGAAACCGTCATTCGGGCTTTTCGCAGATGAGACTAGCGAATCGCGGGAAATTTGAAAATTCGAACAGAAACACAAACAACTACTCTAGCAGTGAGCGAAACATTTACCCCGGATAAATTCGAGTCTTATGGAAGATTCCCTTACAAAAATGAGTAACAAAGTAGAGTTGAGAACTGTGAAGGAAACCAACTAATTCCAAAACGAGATTTGGCGTGTCCACATCCGTGTCCATCGTGGTCATACAAAGTAAAAAAGAAATGGGTCAAATAGGTATTACCTGAACTAAGTAATATCAAGGATCAAGACGAAAATAGGTGTGCTTTCTGTCGCCATCGCGTTATGACAATGACTTGGTGCTGCGCCAAATTGAAACCTGCGATGAACAATTAATGCTCTCAGTCGGGGAAGGCAGCTAGAATAAGGTATATTTATCTAAAATACAGGTGGCTGTAAGTAAAAAAAAGGAAGCTGATGATGGTGGCCTAATGTAAATATTACCTACTACAGCCTTTCAGTCCCGATTTGTCGGTCGACCAGAGCTAAACTGTATAGGCAACAATTACAAACTTTGCATTAAATAACCAGTACCGTTAAACCAAGGTGACAACGCTCGACCTCACCCAGCAAGGATTAGGGCCTGACTTGAAGGTTTATAGTGATACTGCAACGAAGTAAGCCTTGTACTACGCACGTAAGTGTATTCGCCTGACACACTGACAATACAGTATTATTAGTAAATCGATTTAATTATTTAACTATACGTATATAGTTGTTTTCATTCGATAGTTATTATGTTAATTGAATATAAATGTAGAATATGTGCTTACGGCTGGAGGAATCCAAAATGGCGAAGAACAGTGTGTTAGTTGATATCCCAAGTTTATCTTCTGCCTGTTTCATGGGACGATTCTACAGAAGACCAAAAACAGCTAGATCACATTTGTATGACATCATAAGTCCGATCGCGGCGTTCATTAAGATATTACCTTATACAATACAACATAGAAGTCTCCTTTTTGTCTTAACAGAAGACTGATGTAGGTAGTCGTTCCTTCGAATAGCTCAACTGAAAAGCCATTTTCAAGAACTGTGGTTTGTCAGTTCCAAGGAGAGGAAAGGCTTAGCATCGTTGGAGCAGTTAATCTTGCAACTGTTACACCGTCGAAAAGCACGTTTCACAAGTCAACTTTGTACATGTTGAAACAAATCCATGTCTGTTTTTTAAACAGGCATCCAGGCATAGTTAAATTATGCCAATTCAGGTACGGAAACTCATATATCCTTAAGCAATTGGACTTTCTCTGTACTGACGAGAGCACTTAAGCAACTGGTATGGAAGGCTATGTAATTTTAGGATAACTCCTAAATCTCTGTAGGTTGCCTCCTCTAGCATAGCTTGCTAACCTGAGTAGTATCCCGTATTGTCAAAAGCGACCTTCAGCATAGCGCATTTCAGGACTAAAAATTCCTATTCAATTTGCCTCACACAAAGAAAACATTTCAGTAAATATTTTTTTCTATTTCCAGTCTGTATATTTCTAAGGACATCGATGTGCATTTTGCGTGAAACGTTGGAGACGCATGCCTAGATCTTGAGTGAGGGTCGTATACAGGACAGGGCCTGGACTGAATCTCACCTGAGAGACTGATGATTCAGAGAGATACAGAATCACCGATTTTGCCTACGAAGATGCGATATGTGGATTACAATCGGCGCCGAGGAACCACTTTAGGACTGTTTTCTAGAAATGCTCTTTTCTACACTACACGCAGAGGCACGACCCGGTTGCGTGTGAAGGTGGTCGTAGCAGGTTCGTGAAACAGCGAAAAACTTACACCATGTTCAGTAACTCCGAGTGAATATAATTAACATAGCTATTACGAGACAGTAAGCGGTGTCTGTAAGAAAATCAGGGGTATATCGTCGAAGGTGAGGCCGCACCTGCATGTAATTCTACGTAAATTTGCAACGACGATTCCGGAAGTGAACCTGATGCTGTTAATGTGACTAGGTATGTTGAAAGCCGTTTCGCTTGGGCAGGGTGTACGTGCGTTTAAAATCTCGTATTGGGATAGCGGCCTTGTCAGTGTTTTGAACAGGTACACAGTCACCACAGCTTTGAGAGTTAGAAGCGCGAGAGACTCCAAGAGTCACCAGCAACGATCGTGTCTTTCTCAGGCTAAGATCGTCTGTCAGACAGGCACATGAGTCACTTCGGCGTCAGTCGGTGATTTGAAATCGTCGTGTCAGTTGAGCTCTAACTATGGTAAATTAATTATTTGACAGTATTCAAAAGTACGTAATATTATTCCTCGATAAACTTGCAGCCGTTTCCAGTTCATGACCTCCGAACTGGGTAGTCGAGCTTCACGAGACCTGGGCTGCGCTCGCAAGACTACTATATCAGTTCACGCAACATAATCTGCTGGCGAAGGCTGTATATCGACGCTCATAAGCAAATCTTCGGTATTAGTAAAAACAAGGTCCGCAAGTGAAACAGAGCGTATTAGTGCGTTGATGAACGAAAACGAGAAGTGTTCGAATATTATTATTATTAAGGATATCATTAATACATTCTGATTATTATTATATAATGTGAAGTTTGACCGATGGCCATGCTGCTGCCGCCGCCGCCGCCGCCGTAAAATCAAAGCAGTGCTGTGGATAAAGAGCAGCAACAGGCAAAGGCGATGGCTGCTGAGTAATAATAATGATGGCAATAATAATGTGTCCCTGAACGTGATGAGACTGCGTGTGTGGGTGATATCTGTGCTGGCGTCTTATTGGGAGTGGCGGGCAATGCCCTGCTTGTATTTGTGCGTTTAAACACACAAATATACAAACATATTAACTCATTCGAATCAATCTGGATTTGATTAAGTTAGGGAATACGTTTGTTGTGAAACTAGCAAGTACTAATACGAGGATCGCTTTGCGAGAGCTCATAAACTAGATTAGACGCTATAGACGATACGTTCATATCTGCGCCCAATATCCCATAAAGGTCGTTGTTTGTATAAACTGACAAACGATAAACGAAGTGTTAAAACAACCATTCGTAAATTAATCAATTCACACGCTTCTTGCCCCGGTCGTTGCTTTGTCCAATAGCAGGATAAAAAAAAAACATGAAATATATCAAACAACGCTGGCTTCTAAAGAATGGCCGCGTTTTCAAATAAAAATGCATACAAGCCGGAACCTGCCACCGGCAGAATGTTTTTGAAGAAACCAAGGAAGGGGCCATGTCAAAAACGAAGCTTATTCCGAACACACTTATATACACAATATAAATTGAAAGAAGCAAAGCTAAATATTCAGGTAACAAAAAATAGCTATAGGCATTAAGTATGCAGATTTCATTCGATAGTTTTTTTGAAAAATCTGAGAGATGGACTTAACTGGGGCTTAGACATATCGCTCGAGCATGGTACAGCGTGTCTCTGTCGGTATTAACTTAAAACTTACCATATAATTCGTATAAAACGAAGCGTTCTTTAATGCCGAGACCTACCGTTGAGCTTCCTCATACCTACGCTTCATTCAAAGATTTTCTCATTCATAGGCGAATAAGTAAATCTAATATAAATGAGACCCATGGATAGTCTGAACTTCCTTGCCCCAGTTATATTTCCATTGTTTTTGTCTCTTTTCTAGGATAATCAAACAAGTCGATCTTAAACCAGATTCCCAATAATTAAGCAGTATCGCTCAAATTGAAAAAAACCCTTACTAACTTACTGATCGGGCATTATCACAATTATCGTTATGGTTTTTATGTCATTTGGTCTTTCTGTATTTCACTGCTAGCTGAAGTGGTGATTTCTATTGTGGCCCGTCAGGATGAGGTGTTCAGGGGCACTTCAATGCGCCGACACCGAAAGAGACGTAGAAGCTGTTGAAACGGCTCGCCACAGCGATGGCTTTGTTTTATGGGCGACGACACCGTCACTAGAATAGCGGCGGCGGCGGCGGCGGCGGCGGCGGCCGCGGTGGTGACGACAACAACGGCAACGGTAAGTTTGTTCGCATAGACGATATGAACCCGAACTAAACGCTAGTAATAAATAGAGCGTTGGAGTTTACCGGAGATGCCGGTTGTGTACCTTAGATAGAACTGTAAAAGGTCTGAAGGTGCTAACAGCAAAATCGTTCCCTTTTGCTGTATGGACAATGCCGATGATGATGGCAACGGTAACCTTTTCTTTCATTTGTCGTCATGTCTACGCGATTACTTGTGCACCCCGATGTGTCCGTCCAAAAACATTTGAAGAGCTTAGATACAATCAGTTATTGGTCGACGACGATTAATAATAACGTAAAGAGCTGCAGCAGTACACAATTCAACTTTGATATAGCAGTATCAGAGCATCAGAAACTTCTTTAGTCGACGTTCCCACCGACTACTCCGGTTTGGTCCGATAAACAATAAATTATCGACATCATATATTCTGCAATATATGATATCTGTATACAAGTTGCATAGCGCGGAGTCGTAAAAAATTATCCGATTCCATACACCGTCTCGACGTTTTAGGTAGTTGAGGATTTAGAAGATCTGCATTTCACTGTTACTTCAAAAATTATATCAAGTAGAATTAACTGAGCAGTTTGTAAGCGGATCGATCCGATTCTGGGAAATCTAGGCGTTGAGTGAGACCTGAATAATGGTAACCATTTATTCTCATCAGCATTTGAGTCAAGAAGACTAGTGGCACAAGGTGCCCAGCTGGCATTACCAGCAAGTGAGAATCTCGTGAGTTTGGCCTCTATTAAAAAAATCGAGTATTCGCTAACATTTCTATCTATGCCCTTTGTCCATTTGACGCAGATTATTTGTCACTTCGGAAAAAATTGCAGGGAGTAAGTTTTGCGTTAATTCGCCCGTCCATTTCTGACTCAAGCGTTTCTTTATCCGTTATCAAAACGGACATTAAAACAGCAGCGCCACCGTCCGACACTACGGAAAACAATGATATATGAGCAGGAACACAAAGAAAATGACTGAGACGAAATATAAAAGAGTGTGAAGAAAGGCTTATACTCATTAGATTAATCGTGGCTATAATTGGAGGCAATTAGAGATCATAATACATCATCCACAGTCTGATGTATCGTGCCAAAATACTTCTACTGCCTGCCGTGCTCTGTCATCGTGCTAAAAACGTTTTCAGCGATGCATCTTAAGTCCGGCGCCTTGTTTAATTCGTATTTCTGTTTGCCCCTCATAGCGATTGTAGGTAATAAACTGCAAATGGATCACGTGCAATGCAATCGACCCGTACTCTGGCCGCGATTACCGTAAGGACACATTCTATGTTAATGATGATGTGCTTGTTTAATGCCATCGTATGTGGACTTCCATAGAAATGCTAATTAGAATGCGCATACCGCTCGTTCATTTTTTCGGTGTTATTCCCGTACCTGGTTATGACAATTAGTTACCTGGGTACTTCGTTGACTCCGAAATAACAATTTCACGCAGTGTAGCACTTGGATGCAAGACAATACATTTAAGTAAATGGAGGCCTACGCTGCAACTGTGGGATATTTATGCTGATGTCTTGATTGTGCTGCTGGCGCTATATATGCTTATAGATTTGGCTTATCATGGATATTGTGCGTACGTAATGAGACGGCCCGTTATTAATGAGCAACATGATTCACAGTTATCCAATGGCCACTTCAGTCAGCCAGCTGCGACACCGTTTGCGCAGTTATCTACTGTCGTAGGAGTACACATTCTATAGAACGTTCGTATTAGTAGTACTCTGGTTATGCCTGGGCCGATACCGCCGCAGCTACTGCTTCCGCCGTCAACAAGACGAGGAGATGTCGCCAGTAAGTCGATATGATGACGTTCGGAGGTGGATCAAGCCGCCGCACCAATGGCGGCAAATTGGAAATCGTGACGAGAGTAAGTAGGTGGCAGCGTAACATCGGGAATAATGGTGAGCAACAACGGCAAGAACAGCGAGGATACTGTTGCTCCTAGTGGTGATGTTTAAAATACGACGAAAACGGATCGTTGCAGTGGTCAGCTCCAGCAGACACACAGGTAGGCGGACCGGTCTTCGCTCGTGTGGATGACTAGTACTTCTACGTGAATTTTCATATCCTAGATTAATGCAAGCAGCGGCAATGGTTTAATGACCCATTGCTAGTTTTGTCAAACGAAACAAAAGCTCGGAGTTACGTTCGCTGCCACCATACGGCTATACATTGTAACCCTTAAGTCATATTCCGTGACAGTCATATACAGTGTATTTAGTCCTATATAAACCTGCAAGTAAATCGGCATCCATTAAATGTTATAGGTTTGAAAAATTACATTTTTTTTACTGGACAGATGTAAATAACCACTGTGCTGATAATTTTCGGCTAATTACTGGCAGAACAGTATTGCGTGATATTCATAGGCAGACTTTAATAGTCTGATATGCTCGTACATATATATATTAAAAAACATTTGTATGGAATGAATTAACTAACCTAGGTGTCCAAGCCAGACATCGTTTATTTGCCCCAAGTTCTCAGCAGAATCCACATGGTAAACCACCGTTTATCAAATTCGTTAGAAAAATTAAAGAATTAGTTAAAGTCATCAAATCCGCATTCACGCAAGAACTCAATAAAATTTTGGGGTTACTTCTCGTCCCTTAGTGACTCCGCGAACCAGATTGAAAAAAATAACCTCTATATAAGTTCCTTTGCTGAAAAGTAGTTCGTTGAAGTTTTCTTTAGGTCCGAACGCACACGTTTGGTGCCTGTACAGGTGAGTCTCCAATATAATTTTAGCCGGCTACACGGTTTATATTACAGTGTTCCATATGGAGGACCTGGTTTATTAGCCACAGAGGGCAAAGCAAGTCGTTATAAGTAATAGGATATGCATAATTATTATTCTAAACTGTATTCTATAAGATGACATTTTACAATTGTACGTCCTTATTTTTATACACTCAGACATAGTTAGGGAGCGATATTGAACTTCGTTTTGTATACTCGTTAGATGCTATACGTCTATCGGAAGACTGACGCTTACCGCAAATTTTCTTTTCATTGTCAATACGGCAGTTGTGACATTCTTCTTATTAACATCAGCGATGTTGGGAAGGTGTTGAAAACGATTCCGCACATCTGCGCCAACAGTTCATGGTCTTGGAGCCGCTAAACTGTTGCTGGTTTTTTTTGTTGTTTGCTTCGACAATAAAGCTTTGTCGCATATCTACATACTTCTGTTATTATTGTTATATGTGTATGGGTTATCGTCGGCGTGTGTGACGACACCGTCGTGATAAGAATGGCTTGGATAAATTTACGATAAAGGAGGTAATTATCAACCGCTTCTGTGAGAAAGATATAGATCTCTTCTTCTTCATCTCCGACGGCTGCTTTTGCTTCCACTCAACGAAAACAGTGACGATGTTAGCTCCTACCGCCGCTGTCGCTGCGCTGCCGTAGCTTTTGCCAGGTT